AATATGCTGAAATAAAAAAAAAAAAGAAAAAAGTTAAATTCAAGGAAAGAGGCATTAGGCATAGCATTACCTCCGCATAGACTCCACACTCTGAAAGTACAATATTGGGCCTGAAGGTAGTTGCTTTAACTTTCTTTTCCAGCTTGGTGTTGAGATCCGCCAAGGATGCCTCAGATAGAATCAAGAATGGGCTGGCATCTGGGTAAGCAATCTGAAGAGGAAACAGAAATTGCTATGATATACGGCACATAAACTTTCTCAGGGGTTTCATGTGTCTAGTTCCAGGAAATGCCCTCCCTAAGCCACCCCATCCCACCCCGTCTTTCTAAGTATTTCTCCAGTTCCTTTTACAGAAAAGTTACATTGACTCAGAAACTTTAGCTTTGCAGGTAACAGGAATAGCACGGTAGAGTGAAAGGAATATGGCCTCGGAATCCTAGAGCTGCCACTAGCATGCGCCCTTGGGGACATCACCTCACATGTGTAAGCCTCCAATTTCTCAAATGTTTAATAAGGTGATTGGGTTTGATGACCTCATTATGTTTGCTTAGAATGTTCACTAATTCCATGGACAATTATTTTTTATGCAACTTGCCAATTAATTTTAAGTATTTATGTTGACCACAATTTTATGGCCATGGTAAAAGTTAGACCCTCCTTTTATGATGAATCCTTGCAGCCTTCTTCCTGGATGGGCCAGCCTGCTCATTTGAAGTCTGTGCATCTCCACACCCCCACCAACTCGCTCGACTGCAATCTGACACACAACCGCAAACAAACTGTAAACAGTTTGGACTCCAGGTGAAATTGCAGAATGGAGTGAAAAACAGATACTGGTGTAGAACAGTTTCGAAAACACTTTTGGCACCAGAATGCTCACACAAATAGGTCGGTGGATGTGCAAAGGGAAAAGCAAATGCAGAGTCCCTCACATCAAAAAACACAAATAATGCTCCCAAGGGAAGGGCTTTATTTCTCTCTGCTGCTTGTGACCAGGGCTGCTGGGGGCTGCCTGGCAAAACAACAGAGCCTGGTTCATCAGATGCCGCCTGCGCCCTACAGGCTGGGGGCGACTGCTGTCCAAGCGTGGAGGAAGCCAGGCCTCTCACCCGCCCTTTGGCCGGGAACACGTCCTTGATTTGGTGAGGATTTCTCGGTCGCATGTGAGGCTCGAAGTGCACCAGGCGGTAGGGCTTCGTTTTCAGGAAGCTCGTTATCCACTGGGCGGCGGCCTCGCCACAGTCCCTGCCCTCGATCTCCAGGCCATGCACCCTGCAGAGGTGACAGCAGCAAAGGACAGGCACAGCTTTGAAAATGTGTACGTCCTAATATGTCTGGGACATACCAGAAAAGCTACACCAAGCCGTGATGGTGCTGTCATTCCCTAATTATCGGAAGACGTGATTTTAGTACAAGCCCACATGAAGATGAAAACATTTTAAGCCCTCCTTTCCCCATTTTTAAAATCAAGTGATGCATACCTGTGTCTCCCTACCCAGAAGGAATGCAGGGAGGCTGAAGTGAGATAATATATTTGGAAATGTACTGAATTGAAGAAAACTACCATATCAGTATAAAGTAAACTAATAATTATTGCAAAATCTGGTTCACCCAGCTGAATAGCAACCAGAAATCTTTATTGACAGGCCTGGCTATACTTGGCCAGTAAAATATTAATAACGGCAATGTATATGAAAATGTTCTATAAAGTCTAAAACATTATAGGTAACAATAACTCACTGGAGTTGATTGCTAGCAATAACTCTGTAAGATTTGAAGTCCCACTTCCCCAATATATAGCTGTGTGCAGGACTGTTTGGGGTTATGTGAATTTCACAGCCGTATGGAAGAAATAAATGCCGTGGTGTAGGTCAGCGTTTCCCCAAGTGTAGGATCATTACCACTGTGGGTGTTCAGGATAACTGTAGCTAGCAGCTGAATACAACAGTCAATAAGTGCAAATCGAACAGAGAAAGTGATTTTCTTCAGTTTAGTGATAATAAATCCTTCACTTTTAGCAACACTTGATAATTACCTCTGCTAACATAGAAAGAAGAGAACTCAGGTCCAGAGACCTCAGTGGGCAACAGTTTCTAGCTAGGATTTGGTAACTTTCTTTTTGTGCCATATTGTTTCAGTTACCTTCTATACCTGTCAAATTATATAGATTTTCCTTTTAAAATAAATGTGTTTAAGGGTTGTTTTGTTTTAAAGCTGAATCAAAGACAAATATTAAGTAAATAAAACTACAGGTGTCTGTGTGGTTTGGCCTATATCATGGTGGCGTTATACAAGAACCCGAAGTTTGGGAAAGTATAGGGGAGTCAGGAAGATTTACTCAGGTGTGCATCCTGTTTCCACAAATGCCTGGGTCTATGACTGGTGATATTCTCTCATCCTAAGACTCAGTTTCTTCATCTATAAAATGGGAATAAAAGCACAACTTTGTTGTGAGGATTAGGGCCAAGCTTTAAGTCCCCCCAAACAATTCTAATATTGGGATGTGCTCAGCAGTGGTCGTAATTATTCTAGGGGTTCCTTCCTCTCCCAGTTATTTCAAGCTATCTTTATATAATTACTCCATAAATTAAATATTTAATCAAAGGCATCCAACCTCTAACAATAATGTATAAATGGATTTTTATATTGCAAAGCATATTAAGGATATAGGATCCTCTATTTTTATATAATTTTATGTAATTGCTCTTTACATAAAATGAGAAATTATTACTAGTAGTGTTTTGGTTACTGCATTAAGCTGTGAGATTAGTTGTACTCAAAGTTTTCATAGAAAACTTTTTATTGGCATACACGGCTTGCTGCATTTTCACACACTCTCATCCCACCCATTCTAAACTGACCTCCCGAGAGTCAGAGGGCTGAATACACATGCAAGGGCTTTGGAGTAATGAGACCGTTTATCCACAAACACCGGGAGCAGCTGCCTTACTCTTTTCTAGATCAAAACGAAAAATAAATAAAATAAAATAAACATGCCCAAATTCACATATCCAAAAGGGTATTACCTTTCAAAGCATTCACCTTGGGAAGTAACATACATTCTAACCTAATATTATCATATTTACTTATTACTACTTTTAAGCCTAATGTCGTATTTTAAACCAAAAAAATGGTTCTATACAGGTTGATCACCTTATTCACTGGACTTAGCTTCAGGTGATGTTTTTGCTTTTTGCAAAAGTTAAATTTACTGTAAGAGGGTGAAGATTTCCAGAAATGAGTGTCTGTGTAATTTAATGTCTCAATGTAAATTTCAGAAGCATCTTGAGCAATGGTAGCATTACCAAAACCTATATGGAGACAGTCTTGAGGGTCATCTCCTTTTAGATGTCCCTTGATGGCGCCTGTGCAAAAAAAATTAGCCCCTTTTCGCAGAGTCAAACCCTTACAGCCCGCAAAGCCCCCCTCTCAGGGGCCCTGCCATTCAGCAGCCTGGGGCTTTCCTTAGTTGCTTTTACAGGAAGGTCAGAAGGCATGCAGTGAGTAGGTAGACAGGAAGCCTGCTTGAGTTCTTTGGGGCTTTAGTTGGCAGTAATTGTCTTTATTGAGTTAAAGCTTTTGCTTTTATCTTAGGCCACTTCAACATCTCTGGCACTGATTTCCACGGCAATCTCTATGTGTGATAGGTCTTAGGGTTTGGGTTGATACTAATCTGGAACTTGAGGCCTTTGAATGAGCAGAATTTGTTCTCTGTTTTCTTCCTGCTCCTCCTACATTTCTTGTGAGTTCTGAGCAGCCTCAGCCATATCCCTGGACCCAGCATTCCTCTTGCACACTGTCCCAAAGAGTCCAAGCAAAAAAAGAAAAAAGAAAAAAACAATTCCAAATGCTCCTAAAACCTTTGACAAAGATGAGGTAGGCATGCATGGTTTGAAGCTGTTTGCCTGAATAATCCATTTTAAAAGGCCCTAATTGTCTATATCTCATTAGTAGCAGGCATAGTCGGTGAGAAGATCAAGTAACAACCTTGACCATGAAAACAGATGTACTGGCTACGATCATGACCTTCTGATAGTGACTCTAGGGTCCCAAGAGCTCATCAGAAATCTTTAGGAAACTGTGAGCTGAGCTTACAACTCCCTCGCGAGAGAACGTTCTGGGCTGCCAAAACAAACCTGAGTCCAGATGGTCCTTGGAATCTTTGCTCAGAGAGCCTGTGTCCTAGTGCCATGTCTGAGCCTCTTCATTTTGCAGCTTCCCCACATGCCTTTGTTTACTCTTTGCGGCACAGATCTGATGCCCATACAGGATTGTGAAAAAAGTTTTTACACAATTTTAAAAGAATTAAAAATTAAATTAAAAAAAATTTAACTATAATAAAGTATGGTTAAGCATCTAACCATGGCAAACAAATATGAACGAGGATATGGACAAACATGAAATACAAATTATAATAGGCATATTTAAAAGTTTACCTCATACAATCAAAAATGCAAATTAAATTAACAAGAAATTACCATTTTTGCCCATAAAAATGGCAAAATATTTTTGAACATAACGGTTAAAAAGCATACAGAAACGTTCAGAAACTGATGGCTATATAAGCTGGTGAAACCATTCTGCAAACAATTTAGCAACATGTGTCAACAGGCTTTAGGATCCACTCTTATTTCAAATGAAACCACTGCTAGCAGTCTTTTCCTATGGGAATAATAAGACATATGAACAAATATTCATGCCATGATATTCATCACATTCTTCTTCATACCTGGAAAACATTAAAAACAATCCAAATATGTAATCATGGGGGATTGTTAAAATGCATTAAAGGTCATCCACAGAATAAAATATTTTTCCAGTGTGAAAATGATATTTTTAAAGATTTTTTAACAATATGAAAAAATACTTAACATATCAACTTAAGTATATAAACAGTATTCAGGAGGGTTTTTTTTGTTTTTTTTTTGGTATAATAGGCGGTCCCCAGGTTACAGATGAGAATGTCTTTAGGTCAGATTTGTATGTAACTCAGACCCCTGACTAACAGTGCATATATTGTAATAATAATAATAGCAATACTATAATGGTTCATACATTGTAATAATAATACAGTGTAATACTATAATAATACCCATGTACTGTAGTAAGTTACAGAAACTATTGTGCTCTTTCTTTTAATTAAAATAAACAGAACATAAAAACAAACTCATACAAAAAGGTTAGATAGGAGATAGGAGAAATTTCATAAAAGAATATTAAAGGTTAATACTCACCTGGTGTTGCATCAACACTAGGCTAATAGAAATGTTATACTTATTTTGATCTTCTAATCAAATCAATAATAACCTGTCCATTCCAATAATTAATCCACTACGCTGCTTAGTAATAATTAATGCTTTCATTGGAGCACTGCCTTTCACATGTTCCATTATTCTCATTTTATCCTTTATAATTGTTCCAACAGTCAAGTGACTGAAGCCTAAGTTTGCCCAGTGAATGATGGTGTCTGGCCTTTCTTCAAACGATTATTTCACTGTGATCGCCTTCTCTTCGCTGCAGGCTCACCTGGACTTGCAGTGGACTTTCGCTTTGGAGGCGTGGATATAAGGGTAAACCCAGACTCACAAAATTGAATAAAAAAGGTAAGACGAAAGTGACGCTGTGTGTAAGCGGCTGCAGAAACAAAGAGCCCAGCCACTGTGTAAAGAGGCTGCGCCAATGAACCGCTTACGACATGTGGCATGTGCGGAAAAAACTAGTTCCCCCATTATTAATCTATTTAATTATAAATTATTCCTATGGGAGGCCTTGGGAGCCCATTTGTAAGTTGGGTCATTGGTAACCCAGGGACTGTCTGTATTTCGATTTGGTACTTAAAGTATTCTTTAAGTAGCCATAAAGACAGAAAGAAAATATGCCAAAATATTTAATTATAGTTATCACAGTTTTTGTTTTCCTCCTTTTTTTGGTATTTCCCAATTTTTCAACAATGAATATGTATTACTTTTATAATCAGAAAAACTACCAAACTCCAATGAAAACATTATGTTTAAAATTATAAGTTACAATAGAAATTTTACAGGTATTACAATATTTGAACTTTTAATACATTCTTTGACATTTTTAAGGTAACTTTTTTCTTTTTTTTTTTTTTGAGACAGGGTCTCCCTCTGTCACCCAGGCTAGAGTACAGTGACGTCATCACTGGGTTCAAGTGATCCTCTTGCCTCAGCCTCCCGAGTAGCTGGGACTACAGGCATGCGCCACCATGCCGAGCTAAGTTTTCTATTTTTTGTAGAAAGGGGGTCTAGCTCTTTCTTGCTCAGACTGGTCTCAAACTCCTGGCCACAGGCAATCCTCCTGCCTCAACCTCCCAGAATGCTAGGATTACAGGCATGAGCCATCGTGCCAGATGACATTTTTTGATATGATATTATTTCCTATCATAGGCTATGGACTACATTTAGCATTTACACTGCATTTTAATTCAACATGTGGAAACTGTAATAAGAGTATAATTAGATCAAACTTTAATTTTCCCATAATGGAGATAAGAAATCAAGCCTAGACATGATTTCTTAGAGGCAAAGCTGTTTTCCTAGAATAACTGCTTCCTTGCAGTCCTTCTTTTTTTTTTTTTTGCTTTCTCTAAGTGAATGGAAGTGTTTTTTTATTATTTTTTTATTGCAATTTTCTTTTACTTTAGCATATTATGAGGGTACAGATGTTTAGGTTATGTACATTGCCCTTGGCCCTCTTCCCCCCACAAGTCAGAGCTTCAAGTGTGTCCATCCCCCGGATGGTGCGCATTGTACTCACAAATAGACAACCTAAGAATCAACTCAAAGAGCTGGAAAAAGAAGAACAGATCGACCCCAAACGTAGCAGAAGAAGTGAAATTAATAAGATCAAATCAGAACTAAATGAAATTGACAACAGGGAAACTATACGGAAGATTAATAAAACAAAAAGTTGGTTCTTTGAAAAAATAAACAAAATTGACACACCTTTGGCTAGACTAACGAAAAGCAGAAAAGAAAAATCTCTAATAAGCTCCATCAGGAACAAAAAAGGAGAAATTACAACCGATGCCACGGAGATACAAGATATAATTTATGAATATTACAAAAACCTTTATGCACACAAACTGGAAAATGTGGAGGAAATGGACAAATTTTTAGTACACAAGCCTCCCTAGGCTCAACCAGGAAGAAATAGAATTCCCGAACAGATCAATATCAAGGACTGAAATTGAAACAGCAATAAAAAACATTCCAAAAAAGAAAAGTCCCAGACCAGATGGTTTCCCACCCGAATTTTACCACACCTACAAAGAAGAACTGGTGCCTATCCTGCAGAAATTATTCCACAGCATCGAGAAGGATGGATTCCTCCCCAACACATTTTATGAAGCCAACATAACCCTGATACCAAAACCAGGAAAGGACGCAACAAAAAAGGAAAACAGAAAACTACAGACCAATATCCCTTATGAATATAGATGCAAAAATTCTCAACAAAATCCTAGCAAATCGAATCCAGGTGCTTATCAAGAAAATAATCTATCACGACCAAGTGGGCTTCATCCCAGAGATGCAGGGATGGTTCAACATACACAAATCTATAAATGTAATTCACCATACAAATAGAAGCAAAAACAAAGACCATATGATCCTCTCAACAGATGAAGAAAAAGCATTTGGCAAAATTCAACACCCTTTTATGATAAGAACGCTTAACAAAATAGGCATAGACAGGGCTTACCTAAAAATGATACAAGCCATTTATGACAAACCCACAGCCAACATCATACTGAATGGGCAAAAATTCAAAGCATTCTCACTTAGAACTGGAACCAGACAAGGTTGCCCACTCTCTCCACTTCTATTCAACATAGTGCTGGAAGTCCTGGCCACAGCAATCAGGCAAGAGAGCGGAATTAAGGGCATCCAAATGGGGAAGAAGAGATTGAACTCTCACTCTTTGCTGATGATATGATACTATATCTAGAAAACACCATGGATTCAACCAAGGGGCTCCTGGAATTGATAAATGAATTCAGTAAAGTCTCAGGATATAAAATCAATACACACAAATCAGAGGTTTTCATATACGCCAACAACAGTCACACCGAGAACCAAATCAAAGACTCAATTCCCTTCACAATAGCAACAAAGAAAATTAAGTACCTAGGAATATATTTAACTAAGGAGGTAAAAGACCTCTACAGGGAGAACTATGAAACATTGAGGAAGGCAATAGCAGAGGACGTAAACAGGTGGAAAACCATACCGTGCTCATGGGTCGGCAGAATCAACATTGTTAAAATGTCCATACTACCCAAAGTGATCTTGCAGCCCTTCTGACGTTGAGGAAGGAGCTTCTGCACACAGCGCCCTCCTGGGCTGAATCTCCACCCTCAGTCTGACACTGACCATGGGCAGCTGCAGGCTGGATCTCTCTTCTGATTGCAGCTGTTCTTTTCTTATTTTGGAAACTTCCTCTCATTAGAACTAAATATCATGGGTCACAGCCATTTGCTACTCCTTTCCTAACTCAGACTTGGAAGGTACTCAGTTTTTCCAAGCAGAGTAGGGAAAGTTGTATGACAATAATACGTAAATCTAACCTCACCTCTTCTAGGATGCTCTCCCCACCACTCCCACCTCATTTTTGTGCTTCATCCTTCGGTGGTATTATTTTTCTCTTGCTGACATGCTTTTGTTTCCATGGTTTTTTACATGAGACTGTTGTGTCTTTCATCCCCACAACACAAGCTTCTGAAGCTGCTTCCTTGTTTCTCCCTCTTTTAGATCTCATGGTGTTGAGGACTTGGCCCTGCATATGGCACAGTGGCAATCAACGGGTAAGTATTGGTAATGTTTCTCAGGATTCCCTCCATAGTTCACGCTTTCTCAAAATTGCATGAATAATTATTCACACAGGGTCTGAGACCTGCCCTTTCCTTACCTGCATTTGTGCACTGTATTTGTGGTGGGCGCTTTGATGGGCAGCAGCAGGTCCTTCGTGTAGGCTGCGCTGAGAGTCAGGGCGTCACCATCACACGTCACGGAAATCAGGACAAGGCGAGGTTCCTGGCGAGCAGTAACCATGTTTCCCTCCTGGTTGATCACAAGCCAAAACCTGCCATTTTCAAAACACAGGATATGTGTGGACCACCATGACAGGCAGCCGGACTTTGAGAGACCTTCAATTATACACTGTCATCTTCGATTTCCTTCCCGTAAGCCTGGTGTGTGTGAGAGTTTGTGGGGTGTGTGTGTCTGTCTGTCCTAAATATCAACTCAGCAGCATGCAGGACTGATTCTGTCAGTCAATTTCAAAGGGTTTAATAACCACTCAAGCATCTGACATAATATCTGCAGAACATTTTGAGCTTCTTGATGGCACAGAAATGAAACATGTTAGTTATATTTCCATCTCAGTTGCCAGAAAGCTTGATCACTTTCATTAAACATGCCTCAAGGAGACGACAAGACTCTATTTCACAGGAAGACTTTAGGAGCATGAGGAAGTACAGCGCCTGACACCCTATAGGCATTGTGCTCTTCTTGACGGAAGTGACAAGACTGTTGCCCTGTTCACACAGCGTGGGATTCGCTTGGGCAGCACACAGTGTCACTTACACCTTGCCAGTTCTACCCCACCCCACCACCTATTAAAAGATGTTGTTTCAATATTCAATGCTGTGCATTCTGCCATCGGCACAATGGTCTATTGTTAATCTAGTCAATATTTTTGTGAGCCAATACTCTTGGTCTAGAGGTACTTCCTAGAAAAAAAGATAAATGGAGAAATTAGAGCAATAGAAAGAAGCATTTCCAGAAAAAGAACAACACGTTTGTGTAGGTTACCTCTCAGCTACCGAGGAAGTTGGCATTTTAAACATTGGCATTTCAATCATTTCAGTACACACTGATCAAACCACTACAATTATGTGCTATTGGGGTTCTCAGACAGAAGCAAAAAATATGGCAAATACTTTAGGTTATTAAAGATATTTTTTGCATCACTTCCAGCAGGTTATGATGGTTCAGTTGTCCAACTACACTAGAAAAATATGGTTAGTGTAAACCCTTTCCTTAATTGCCATTTTATCAGACCTTCCTTCTGCAAAGAGACAGAGCCAAGCCCTATTCTGTCCCAAATCCTTAGGACCACACATAAGTATTCTTTCTAATATTTCTTCCTGGTAATAATGGCAATCTGATCTTTCTAAAATGCTGATCTTGTCAGAATGATCCCCTCATTCAAAATCCCTCCATGGTTACTGCTTTCTAAATAAAACTAACTCTTAAGCAACCTGTGCAAGGCCCTTCATAATACAGCTGTTTCCCCAGCCAATCTTACCTCCCACACCTTCACACATGTCAGTCTTTTATAGAGATTTTTTAATTGTAGCAAAAGATATAGAACATAAAATACCTAGTATACTCTAGGTCTTGACCCAAAAGAATTGAAAGCAGGGTGTAAAACAGATACTTGTGCATTAATGTTCTTTACAGCATTATTCACAACGCTAAAAGGTGGAAACAACCCAAGTGTCCAACAACAGAGAATGGAATTTTTAAAAATGTGATTGTAACCATGGCGTTAAGTACATTCACAGTGTTGTGCAACCATCACCATTTTATTTGCAAAAGCTTTCCATCATCCCAAACAGAAACTCTGTACCCATTAAGCAACAGCTGCTCATTTCCCCCTCTCCCAGCCTCTGGTAACCTCTAATCCACTTTCTGTCTCTATGAATTTGTCGATTCTACATATTTCACATAATTGGAATCATGCAATATTTGTCCATTTGTGTCTGGCTTATTTTAATAAGCATTATGTTTTCAAGGTCCATCCATGTTGTAACATATATCAGAACTTCTTTCCTTTCTACGGCTGAATAATATTCCATCGTGTGTGTCTACCACATTTTCGTTCATCCACTCATCCATCGATGGATGCTTGGGTTATTTCCACCTTTGGCTGTTGTGAATAATGTTGCAATGAGCGTTCAACATTCAATGCTGCAAAGAACATTCATCAAGTCCCTGTTTTCAATTTTTTTTTGGTAAATACTTCAGAGTATGCCAGCCTTTCCACCAGCATGCCCCATCCTCTCAAACCCTATGTCTTTGCCCGGCTTATTCCCTCTCTCTAGAATGTTCTTCTCCCAATTTATTTGTCTAGAAAGTCCATAACCATTTTCCAGTTTTCAGCTCAAGCTGTTATTTCCTCTGTGAAGTCCTCCCTGACTGCCCCAGACAGCTTCCTACTGCTTCCTCTGTGCTACCTGAGACTTGTGACAACCTCCACTGCGTGGGTTATCATCTAGGACTGTAAGCCTGGGTTGGCTTCTCTTGGTCACACTTTCTGGGAGTATGTGATGACAAAATAAAGAATTTACCATAGTGTCTAGTACAAATGCCAGCTCTTGTTGCTCATCTGTTGTAATGAGCTCAATAAATGCTTTTGGCATCTATACAATAAAATTACAATGCCCTTTGCCTCTGGGACCTACAAAAACAAACAAATGCAATAAATTCTACCATCCTTCAGAGTCCACTGTACAAACCATGGAATATTTAGGATTCTTGGCCTCCTTCCTGAAGCAAAGTCTCATAGCTCACCTTTCAACTATGTCCTGAGTTGCTCTCTGCCTGGGGAGCTGGTAAGAGAAAGGGTACAGCCCCCACCAGTCCAGTGTCACTAGCTGAGCTGCTCTGGGAAGGAGTTTGAAGTGTAGCCTCCCAATGAGGCCCGGAGCTGGCCCGAAGGCAGACTCAAAAGAGAACAAAGCCACTCTGGAGTTTTGCAACCTTCGTTGAGCCCCAGGAATCCACACAGCTCTCAGAACCCAGATAGGGCCATTAATAAAATCGCTATTTACAAAACCCCAGTGTGCTAAAGAAAACAAAGAGTCCTGGTTCCACTGCTGTGTGGCTCTGAACTCAGTTTCTTTATTCACAAAAGAGTGCTTCAGAGGATGGGGGAAAACAGCATACGCAATAGCACTTCTTAAGCTGCAGGAAGGTATTCAACTGCTGTCATCATTATGTGCTCCGCCTTGGTGCGCTCTTTGAGGACTGCACCGCTCCAACTTTCCTCAAGATCTCAAGAAAGTCACTAAAAACAAAGTGACCGAACCACTCCCTTGAAGCTCGCCAAATCCACTAGACCGCGATTAAATTTAATCGCGCACTGGCAGATAGGGACGGACAACACATCTCATCAGAAGCACATGAGGCCAAAGAGCCAGCGGGAGGTGGAAATACGCCCATCTCGGGAGAGCGGGTAAGGACGCAGAGTCAGAGTCCAGTGTACCCGGGATCTGCTCTTGGGTGATGAGGATCACTTTTTCTCTGTGTCCTTGTCCCGCCCAGCTCCCAGTTTCTTTGTAAGGGGAAGAAGGACCTGTAGGGTACTCCGCAGACCTCCCCTGCTTCCCACCGCCCTCTACCGCCTTGCCCAGAGCGGGGTCATCATCGTTCCCCCGCGCCCCGGTTCGGCCGTACCTGTCCCGCAGGTGGCCGCTGCGCAGCCCCATGGCGGTGCACTCCGCCGTGCTCACCGGCACCCCTTTGCAGGACTTGATCGGGTAGATCCAGAGCTGCGCCACGGTGCCCACCTGCTGCAGCCGCCGGCGCCGCCTGGGTCGCCCACGGCGCCAGGCTACGGCCCCCAGCGCCACCGCGGCCAGACCCAGCGCGGCGACCCCGAGCCACCGCGGCCGGGGCTGTGCAGGGAGGCGCAGGACAGGGAGGCTGAGCCCGGCCAGCGCCAAGGAGCCAGCGGCGCCCATGGCCGAGCGAGGCGGGCGCGGCGGTCGCGGAGGCCGCGGGGCGAAAGGTGTGGCCTTTAGCCCAGAGCCCACAGGGCGGGCGGCCCCAAGCCCGTCCGGGCCAATCAGAGCGGCGTGTGTTCCTCTGGGGGTGGGCCCTGGCGCAGCGGCGGGAGGTGGTGGCTCAGCCTCCGAGGGATCTAACCCCCCCCTACTTCCGTCACCTCGGCTGCAAGGCGCATGCCCTCTCCCCTCAGTCGCTGCAAGTGACCAGATTACTTATTTACGTATTTGCGGAGTTATTTGACCTAAAATAGACAAAATACAAAATTTGCAGGACAAAGCGTGATTTCGAAATGAGAAACCAGCCAGCAGGCCGCTGCCTCTCTTGGGGCTGGCGGGGAGCGGGTCGGCACGGCCCGGCCGGCCGGAGGCCCCGGGCGAGGGCACTTCCCGCGAGTCGGGACCTGCGGACGGAGGGCTGCGGCCGGGACTGCAGAGCCCGCGGCTCTGAGCGGCGAGGGGCGTCGGAGAGCGACGCCTGGGAGCTGGAGCTGGAGCTGGTTGGCAGGGCGGGGGGCCAGGAAGGTGGGTCCTGGCACAAGGTCCCCAGGCTGCTTCAGGGCCGGAGGGAGTGTCATCTGGTCCTGCAGGCACTCACCTCAGCCACGTCGCACTTCCAATCAGGTCATATTCCAAACTGACAAGGTCAGCTACCAAGGTCAGCGTGATTTAGGAGCCTTAGGCTCCTGTTTGATATGCCAGGTTGTCAAATAAAAAATTCATCTGACCCTCGTTAAAATGATGAGGAAAACTATATTCTAGACTGTTGTTACAGGGGTATTACAATAGGGGAGAGAGATTGCACTTAACTCTGTATTACAGCAAAGACAGCTGGCGATTTGTAGCCAAGGAGCAAAGTTGAGGGTGTCAGTGGAAGGAAAATTATTGACACATCGTGGGAAGGGGATCCTTGCTAAACCGACTTAGGATTCTTGCTGAGGGCAAGACAAGGACTCACTAATCGAAGCTGAGAGATGAAGAACTTGAGCAGATATTAAGGGTGGTAAGATATCATGGATGGGGAAATTCTCTCTAAACTGACTTAGCAGGATCCTTGCTGAAACGGGGTTTTGCAGGGGGTGGGGTGACAAGGCCGAGGTCTGTCTAGTCAAGAAGAGGGCTCAGAGAAGCCTGACTGAAGTTTGGTGGAGAGATTTTGTCAGCCCCAGGCCAGTCCTGTGGGCCGGGAGTGTGCATGAATTGTCCATGCAGACGGAACATATCTTGGCTCAGAGAAGCAGAGTCCCCCAAGGGGGGTGAACCTCTTTCCCCAGGTGGCAGCTCACTTCAGGGCTTTTCAGTACTTAGGGAGGATCTGTCTTTCTGGAACATTGTTCCTCGTCATAAATGTTTAGGTCTGAACATTTATCTGTCTTATTATCCTATCTTATCCGCCTTATTCTTTTCTCTTCCAACCCCAAGTCACCCTCATCCTCTCTCCACTCCTGTGAAACCCAGAAATTGTGTTCAGAGTACAGAGATCACTGTTTCTCCAGCTACTGAAATATATCAATGATCTTACTTCTTCTGGAAATAAGCCAGGGAGAGAAGGGGTTTGGGTAAATCTAGCTTTCCCGAGGGAAGTGCTAATTGATGATGAAGTGTGACATTGGTGAATAGGATGAAGGACACAGATCAGCAGGATGCAGGACTTGAGCTCCATATTCTCCACAGAAAGACAGCTCAGGGGTACTAAATGTTGTATATTTCTGTTTATCTCCCTCCCAAACTTCTCTTTGGAAATTTAAAAAGAAAAAAACACCATTTTAATGGTTGATTTTAAAGTTAGCATGATTTGTCAATTTCATCACTTCCAAAATCTACCCAGGGATACAGCTCACTTACCACTTTTCCCTCACAAGGGCTGGGAATGGAGGTTCATTTCAGTCCCAGAACCCAGCAAAGGAAAATGGAGAAGGAAGGAACAGCTGCCCCTCACTGACTGCTAGAAGTCTCCCTGCAGTCACTGGCCGCCATGCCTCAGGCAGGCCATCTGTGTGCCTGCGGCTCCTGATGCACCCGGCCCCCACCAGTGACAGGAGGTAAGGTTTGTGGGGTCAGATTGTGTCTCTGGAAGCATCAGAAAGGGTAAGGAAAAATGAATAATAGTGACTGGCATTCGAATATAAAATGAGAAAAGCCCTGGAAGCAGGCTTAAAAACACCAGAGGAAAAAAAAGGTTTGAGATTCAAATTTATTAATAATAAATAAACCACAAAATTGTAAGTGGATTAATTCATTCATTCATATATTAATTAGTTCAGTGAGTATTTTTTTGCTTGGTCAGACCAAATAGTTCATTTCTCTTTGTTACAAAAAAATAATTTGCATCAAAAAAAATATGTTCACACTTTCTTCTTCCCACTCTCACTCTCAAAATTCCATTCTCTTTTAAATTCCATTCTCTTTATCTTACTTGGAATTGCAGGCGGTGTACCCAGCAGTTATACACAAGCAAACTACTTTTATATGGCTTAATAAAGGTGTAATAGAATATGAAAAACAAGTGCTATGAAATAATTTCAGTACTCAAGTACAACCCTGATTCCTTAATGGTGAGGTAAGAAACACAACTGAAAAGTCAATAAGCCCCAATAGCCATGCAAAGACCAACCAATAGGCATTTGTAAGTGTCTTAACATGTAAAGGCACATCAGAAAACAATAAACTGTTGTTTCCCACTTCTGCTAAAACATAGAATGATAGGTAGCAAAATTTGAAAAATGTTTTGCAGCTTTTTAGTTGATTCATTAAATTTTCTTGTTCATCAATAGTGAAGTCAGGTATTGGAAAGGTGTAAGAGCCACAGTCATATTCAAAATGATTTTATAGACAATTTTATTTATTTGAAAAGCCTTTGTTACCTAAAATTTATATACATTCATATTCCCAAATCACCTCTAACGCTTTCCTTGCATTAGGCCGGAGCATATGCAACTCTAAAAAGTCAAAAATAGAGATTCGTTTCCAGGATAAAGATGGTTAAAAGCTGGGTAATAAGGATTCGCTCACGTATTGTTACTGCTGTTGTTAAAATCCTGGTCAATGCCTCCTGGATGTTGAAACCTAAATATATAATAAGAATCTCTGATTATTTGGTTATTTATCTTGATAGTCATAAATAATTCAAACACGCACAAAACAGTCACTTACTGAGGTTAAAATGCAGGCAATATAAACTGTCCTGCCCCAAATTACTTTAATGGAAAAAAACAGATTAAGATTGGCCCAGAGCAAGGTGTCTTTCCTACACAGCATGTGGGAGTGCAAATGGTTGTTTTGAAAACAATTGGTCAAGATGCTGAAAAATACCCCTATACCCTATGGGTCAATAATTCCACTTTCAGGAATCTAACCTATAGACAAAGCCTTAGTTTCAAAATGTTCTGCATACAAAGATTATACTATAAAATTATTTATAACAAAGTTGGATATGGTCCAAGTGTGAAATATTGTAAAAATAGTATTAAAAATTGTTACATATTTATACAATGTAATGCTATGAAGCCATCAAAGACGACATTTGAATAGGTTGGAGAGCTATGAAAGTGCTTATGATCTATCTGTTTATATCTAAATATCCATATCATATAGATCTATTTGTCATGTATAGACACAGAGATATATAGAGATCATAGAGATCACAGCTACATTAAACAAAGAAAAAAATCAATTAAGAATAAAATTTAAAAACAGTGACAACGGGTGATTGCTTTCTTTCTCACACTTTTCTGGTATTTTTTAAATTTGCCTTGGTGAACATGTACCATGTTGCATTTATAATGAAACAGATAAACTTTTGTATAATTAAATATTTAAGTAGATAAACAACTCAAGTAACATTGGTACAAATATTAACAACCTTAAAAAAAAAAAAAAGCTTTAATCTGTCCTTTAACCTGTTGTATAAAGGAGGTCCTCCAAACTGCAGAAACCATAGTGGCCTCACACTTAAAATAGATAAGTACCCTTGCTGTTGTTTTTTAAGCCCCAACTGAAGTGCATAACCAGAAAGGAAACCTCTCAGTGATTCTGGTGGGTGGGCTGCAGAGAAGGCTTTCTACAGAGTGACCAGGTGTGCCTTTAAGGTGCGTGGGGAGAAGCATGTTCGGAGCAGAGTCGCACAGGAGCAGTATCTGGGAAGTGCCCGGGCTTTGTGCAGAGGTGTGGTGGATGACACTGGCAGCGAGCTTAGGGCCCAGTGGCAAAGGGCATCTCTGCCATGCTGAGGATCTGAGCAGTCTGTACCTCTCTCTCCAGGCCCACAACTTCCATCCTACTTAAATTTAAAGTCACCTCTCTCCAATCCATGCACACATGGCCCTCAGGACCACGTTCCAAAAGCACAGCTTTGATTATGACTTGGGTCTAAATGTGTGCCGTAGCAAACTTTACCTGTAAACTAACTTACAAGAACCTGTCATATCTGATTGCATCCCTCTTCCCCATCCTCATTTCCCTTCACCCCTGCTACAGTATCCTCCTAGGTTCCTACCAAGGTTGGACCTTTTGGGAACTTCCACCATATGCTATCCCTGGCGGACTCCCCTGGCCCCTTCTCAGCAGTTCAGGTTCCATCTCTGTCCTCAAGCTTTCTTCCATCACTCTATCCAGAAAGAGTATCTTTCTCCTTTGAACCTGTGAAGCACCATATCTGTGCCTAAGCTGCAGTTGTTTCTTCACACATATAAATGCAGGGCATAACACTATGCAGAAAGCATGGCCTCCTAGCTCAATCTCCAGGGCTCTAGGTCAGCTGACCTACCTGAACCTTTGTTTCTTGCCCATAAAAGGCCTATTATCATATCTATCTCGCAGAGAAGGATTACCAAAAAAAAAACATGTTATCTCAGGTTCTTTTTTTTTTATTTCTGCATATTATGAGGGTACAAATGTTTAGGTTACGTATGTTACCCTTCTCCCCTTCCCCGAGTCAGAGCTTCAAGTGTGTCCATCCCCCAGACGGTGCACATCACACTCATTATGTATGTATATACCCATCCTCTCCTCCCCCCTTCCATCTGCCAGACGCCTGATAAATGTTATTCCTATATGTGCACTTAGGTGTTGATCAGTGAAACTAATTTGATGGTGAGTACATGTGGTGCTTATTTTTCCATTCTTGGGATAGCTTCCAGCTCTATCCAGGAAAATACAAGAGGTGCTATATCACTATTGTTTATTATGGCTGAATAGTACACCATGGTATACATATACCACATTTTATTAATCCACTCATGTATTGATGGACTCTTGGGTTGTTTCCACATCTTTGCAATTGTGAATTGTGCTGCTATAAACATTCGGGTGCAGGTGTCTTTTTCATAGAGTGTCTTTTGTTCTTTTGGATAGACGCCCAGTAATGGGATGGCTGGATCAAATCATAGATCTACTTGTATCTCTTTGAGGTATCTCCATATTGCTTTCCATAGAGGTTGTACTAGTTTGCAGTCCCACCAGCAGTGTATGAGTATTCCTATCTCTCCACATCCATGCCAACATTTATTGTTTTGGGATTTTTTGATAAAAGCCATTCTCACTGGAGATAAGTGATATCTTATTGTGGTTTTGATTTGCATTTCCCTGATGATTAGAGATGTTGAGCATTTTTTCACATGTTTGTTGGCCATTATTCTGTCTTCTTTTGAAAAGTTTCTGTTCTTGTCCTTTGCCCACTTTTTGATAGGGTTGTTTGATTTTTTCTTGCTGATTTTCCTGAGTTCTAAATAGATTCTAGTTATCAGCCCTTTATTGGATGAGTAGCATGTGAAAATTTTCTCCCATTCTGTAGGTTGTCTGTTTGCTCTCGTGACAGTTTCTTTGGCTGTGCAGAAGCTTTTAATTCGATCAGGTCCCTTTTATTTATTTTTGTTGTTGCCGTGATTGCCTGTGGGGTCTTCTTCATAAATTCTTTGCCTAGGCCAATATCTGTAAGAATTTTTCCAACATTTTCTTCTAGAATTCTAAGAGTTTCACACCTTAGGTTTAAGTCAGTTACCCACCGTGAGTTGATTTTTGTGAGAGGTGAAAGGTGTGGATCCTGTTTCAGTCTTCTACGTGTGGCTATCCAGTTTTCCCAGCATCGGTTATTGAATAAGGATTCTTTTCCCCAGTGTACATTTTTGTCTGCTTTGTCAAAGATTAGATGGCTATATGAGGATGGTTTAATATCTGGGTTCCCAGTTCTGTTCCACTGGTCAATGTTCTTGTTCTTGTGCCAGTACCAAGTTGGTAGGCAACAGCTGCGATCTGCCTTGCTCCTACAGCATCTACTGGAACAGAGCCTACACAGGGCTTGTTACTTTCCAAACGAAAACTAAAAGGTGGGAAACAACGGCTGATCCAAACAGGAAGGACTCAGCGAAAGAACTCTGGAAGTATGAAGAATCAAATGGAAAGCACACCCCCAAAGAGGAACACCAGCTCTCTAGCAATGGACGTTAACCAAATTCAGAACACTAAAATGACAGAAGAAGAATTTCAAACATGGATTGTAAGAAAACTCGATGAGATGCAAGAAAAAATGGATAACTAACACAAAGAAACCACACACACACACACACA